TTTTATTTTTTAAGTATTTGTTTTTAATCAAATCCTGCCACATGCCTTCTTCATTACAAAACTTAAACAACCATTTACTCAGTCAGACACCTATTTTGCAGCTCTAAATTCATAATTCCCATTCCACCTTGGTCTTTTGGCTTGCAGAGAATAGGTCATTTGACTAACCTATACTTCTTTTTTTCCTGATCATATTGCCAAAAAATCTGGACCTGAAGTATTCAATCTTTTATAGAGCTCCTCTAGGGACTAAAAAAGACATCATAAACATAGGTAGATCAGATGGAACATAATTTAACAGGACAGAACACCCCCAGTTGACAATAATTTACCCTTCCAGCTGCTTAATTTTTTCTCGATTCTATCTTCTATCACTTTCTGATCTTTATTCGATATACTTCTAACATGCATTGGGATGCCTAAGTACTTGAAGGGGAGTTGTCCTAGTTTGCAACCAAAAAGTTGTGACTATTGTTCCTCACACTCTCTAGTCTACCCAAAATAGAACTTGTCACTTTTGTGATAGTTAATTTTTAGACTAGGCAATTGTTCAAAGACACAAAGTAACAATTTCATATTCTTTTCTAAGTCGATGTCATGGTCTAAAAAAATAATTGTATCATCATCGTCAGCATACTGCAAAATTGATAGTCCATCCTCTATTAGATGTCAGATTATTCCCCTAATAAGACCCTCCTGTTTAGCCCTATTTAAAATAATTGCCAGCATGTCTGCACTATGTTGAATAAAATTGGAGATAAAGGATCTCCTTGCCTAAGGCTTTCTTGGTCTGGAAGTAAGGTCCCAAATGATCATTTATTTTGATTCCTACATTTCCTCCTTGAACCACCATCTTAAACCATTCGCACCAAGTCGAATGAAAACCTTTTGGTCTAAGGGCTTGTTGTCACACCCGATTTTAAGGATAAAATGAGATACAAAATCTTATGTGCTCCCAGAGATCAGTCACACACATAAGACGACAAATTATGAATAGTATCATCACAAGTGTTTATTACATCATGAATAAGACAGAGTCTTCACATAAATGTAGCGGAAGTAAGAAAAAATCTCTCGCGGAAGCTCCATATCACAGGGACGACAACTGGTTGACCACAAGTCTAGTAATCCTCAGGGAAATTGTCATTACCATAGGCATCTGTTACCCATCTGGGATTTTTATCCAAATAATGAAAATAAACAAGTGTAAGTACATGTCGTACTCAACAAGTGTAACATGGGGTTCATGAGGCTCAAAAGGCTTGACACAGGTTTAACAACATTCAACTTTTAGTTATCAAAATTTTAACATAAGAGTAGCAACAAGTTGTTTCAATTCCCAATGCAAAACACATGATCAATGTAAACATGAGTAATTAATAGCATAAACAGGTAATTCTTAGTGTTCATCTATTCCGTAAATGTTCCAAGGCCGCTCGTGACCGTGAGCACGGCTGATATACCAGTTTTACACTCTGCATAGGTTGTACACTTTCACTGTGAGTCATGATACCCATATGCCCGGGTTAATTACTCCTAAAACACTTCTAAGGTGAGAAGGCAGGGGTCACTATGAAGCCTTTCAAAGGTTCGTCTAACAAGTTAGGGCCATTAGATTCACTCGGCAAACAGATGTAGAGCCCCCCTTCCCGATGGCACATTGATGCGTAGCCTATACACATGGGGACAGAGGTCGCACTATATCCAATTCATCAAGCCATTCTTACGCCAATAAAGGTAACCACTGACAAGCTAGAAAAGGTCCTCATACTGAGCTAAAGCCAGAGCCATATAGCCCTCACAGCTATACTATAAGTCCCGAATGATCACTTACAGATAAGTCCTTAGGGAGAGGAATCTAAAGCATTTAGAAAGTAGCTAAACACTCCAGCCCCCTGTTTCCATGTTGCTAAAAAGTCATATTTTAATGTTTATTGCATATACCATTAGTCAAGTTACAAGATCATGGTTTAATTGAGCACTAGCAAAGCTACCCAATGCATATCCTATAGGTAACAAGGAAAAAGTTTAATTCTAGGGAATCCCTATCAAAGCAACACACGCAATATGAATTTAATGTATTAAAGTGAATAGGAAACAAGGATGATCCCATACTACACTTGTCTTAAACAAAGTACTCCTGCTGATCCGGAACGTCAAAGTAATACTCTTGGTCTCCCACGAATTGCTCACCGTCTATACTCGATAATCATAGCAACAAGCATCCAGAAGCAATCATGCATAGCAAATAAAAGCTATAGATTAGAACAGTACACCAAGAGCATAAAATCAAGATGAAAAGTTTGGAAAATGAATCTATATCTCGCTACGAACACACAGACGCGAAGATCACAAAAATCGGAGCTAAAACAAAAAAGTTATGGATTAAACAAGTTTTCCTTTAGTAAAATAATAGATTAAATCTAACCTCAAATTTTAAAAGTTGAAAACATGCTTAACAGTAGTATGAACATGTAGATTACTTAATTATGAACCTAATGCAAGTTGAACAGATCAAATCGGAGTTAAAACGGAGATTTTATGGCTAAAACAAATCTAGTGGCAAAACTATAAATAGCTGAAAACGTATTTTAGATCTAACAGAAACAAAGTACGCTTTCAAAAGAAGAAAACAAAATATGGAAAAAGTGCTATGGACTGCGGGTTCTATAATTGAAAAAGGGAGGGGTTCTTTTGAAAATTTGCCCGTCGAAGGGGTAAGTTCTAATCCTGGCCCTTGATCTAGATTTGAACGGCCAAGATTGAAACGGGGAGGGAAAGTGGTCGGCGGCAAGTTGCATGGCGGCGGCGCCATGGCCGGGCAAAGAGAACTCGCCGGAGTTCTCGGTTTCCAGTCTACGGTGCATGGTTTTCCGAACGGAGAGGTCTAGGAGAGAGAGAAGAGGATGGGGAACTCACCCAAACCGAAACAACAAGTGGGGAAGCGACGAAGGCAGCGCGGCGCTCAGCGAGGTGGACGGCAATGGCGGCGGCTAAGGCTAGGCAGCTATGAGCTCGAGCAGGGACAAAAATCTTGCTCCAAGGTGGAATAGGGAGGCAGCGCGGGCTCGGCCCGCTATTTATGAGGCTGGGTTGGCTTGGGCGGCACGACATAGCATGTAGAGGAGGCGGACACGAACGGCGTCGGTGGCGCTGAGTCCTGCTCGAACACGAGCTGAAGAAGATAGTTCTGACATGTGGGCCAGAGCGGTCAGCGAGAGGAAGGAAAGGAGGAGCGCGGCGTGACTGGGCCTTCGACGAAGCTAGGCCGGCTGCAGCAGGCCACGGGGCCAAGGAAGAGAATGCTGGGCAGCGCAATGAAAAGAGAAGCGCGGGGCGTGAGTGGGCCGGTGCGGAGGAAAGGAGAGGCAGGCCCGTGCGGGAGCAGGCCGACCTGGGCTGAAAACAGGGAAGGGGAGGAAAGAAACTCATTTTCCTTTTTCCAATTTTTCCAAAGTAATTTCAAAATGCAAATTCAAATCAATTTGAAATCTAACTTCAAACCAAGCAATACAAAATAATATGCAGCAGCATGAATGCACATACATGTATGTAGACCTATATTTGATTTTAATTTCAGCAAAATTACTATTTTCCTAAATTCAAATGCCCACAAAAATGCATAATTAAATCATTTTCTCCTATTTAAAATTGTGCAAATTTTAGGGTGTTACACTTGTTGTAAAAAGTTTCAATTTACTTTGTCATAGACCTTCTCAAAATCGATCTTAAAAATCACTCCATCTTTTTTTTCGAGTATGGAGTTCATGTAACATCTCATGGAGAATCATTGCCCCATCCATAATATTTCTACCAGGAATGAAGGCTGTATGGGATGGCCTAATTATTTTATCTGCAAGTTCTATGATTCTATTGGTAAGCACTTTAGTAAAGATATTAAAGCTAACATTAAGCAAACATATTGGTTTGTATTGCTGAATTTTGCTCGCATCTTTACATTTTGGCAATAGGATTATTGTTCCGAAGTTAAGGCTATGGAGAGGCAACAATCCACAGTGGAATTCCCAAAAGAGTGCCAACAAGTCATCTTTTATTATCGTCCAGAAGACCTAATAGAACTCAGAAGGGAAACCATCTGGACCTGGTGTGATGTTATGTTTCATATGAAATAAAGCCTCCCTAACCTCTTCTTCCAAAAACTGTGCAACTAACAACTCATTTTCCTCGTTAGGAACTTGGGGTATGTCATCACGGTAAGATTCAACCATCATCACGGGAGGGCTAGATGTTGGGCCAAACAGGTTCTTATAATATTTTGTGATATACCTTTTCAGCTCTTCTTCATCATGAATTACCACCTCTTCCTAATCTAACTAGAAAATACGTATTTTCCTGTGCTTGCCATTAGCTACCAAGTGGAAGTATTTCATATTCGCATCCCCTTCTAATAAGTTATTTACTTTAGCTCGCTGGTACCATTTTATTTCCTCTTCCCTTAAATGGGTTGCGAGTCTATCATTTATTACATGTTTTAAATCAAATTCACTCTGATTCAAAGGAGTTGATTCTACCTTATCCAATTCATCCAATTTAGAAGTCATAATTGAATATGGACAATTGTTTTAATTTGGACCTTTGATCTTACAAGCAAGCACATCCATTAGTTGCACATTGCGTAGTTTTATTGAGAATAGTATTACATACTATGACTCTAATATGGTCAACTTTTACTTCAAACAAGGAGGATAATGTGACAAATTACAAGGGAGAAATTAATGTAAAAATCATACCATTTATCTCTTTAAGACAAATTCATATTTCTGGACTGAATATATGAGTTAACCGCTATCTTTAGACCATCCTGGATCATAATTTAGAAAAGTGTGTTAGTATATATAAGGTTATAATAAAAAAAAAAAAGAATTATGAAGAGGCACCAAAAGGGTTTAATAAGTTTAACCATGAGTGTCACAGTAGGTTTGTAGCCAAGTTCTTCAACAGCTTTGTTACAACTAAATGTTCTGTTAAGTGTCACATACTTAATCCTTGCTGATGTTACCATTCGAGGTTGGCATATTCCATAACGGTGTAGAACCATGTATGCCCACTCGACCAAATAGCTTACTAGCTTGATGAGAGGCAAAGGTATCCTTATCGTGAATAGTCTACAATAAACTTACAACATATTAGCAAAATGGTGTATCATGTGCTTTGAATTATGAAAAGTATTTAATCAATAAAACAAATAAACTATTTATCATAAATTAAAGCACATAGAAAATTTGAAAGAGAACCTTTTATGTCCTAGTTCTTCCTGAACCATGTGTAGAAAGTCCCAAAAATTGATTGGCTCCATATTAGTTATAAAGTAGGCCTAAAACATTCAAATATATTTATGTGATATATTTTAAAAGAAATTCGAGTTTCCACTCAAATTTAAAACATACTTTTCCACCACTGGTTTTTGCACCCTCTATCGTAGAAAGAGTGGTATCAGCACATATGTGACCATGTACCACATTTTCAACGTACACGAAATCATCACAATTCTTCCCATCACCAATAATAAACTGCAGCAACATAGAACTGATTAGAACTGCATATTCAAACAGAGCGTAAACTTTTCAATGAGTAGTTTTATTAGCTCCAATTGAGTTACAAAGGGTTAATAGTGCCTGTTGTAGCTTTTTGAGGTTGATTTGGTATGGTATTTGGTCTGCCATGCCAAGCCCTATATGTAGTTCACAATCGAGGCTGAACCAAGCTGGACGTGATAATAAAGTCTGTTCTAAAGTACATTCATATGGACCAATAACCTAAACTTTAATAGATAAGTCTTGCAATAAAGGTATTGTTACGTTGTGTAAAATATTGCCACCGTACCATTTAATTTGTACCACAACATTTATTTGAGCATGTACGAGAATAGTTTTCCTACACACTCTTGCAATGATGGATCTAATCGGAATATTGGCCCGTCTGATAGAGCTCTGGATCAAAGAAATCTTTGCCAGCTCTATAAATATATGGATTTGGAGTTGTTGGTACACCTAAGGCCCTGTTTGGATCCCTATAAATAGTAGTTATCTACTAATAATTATCTCTTTTGGATCCAAATAGGTATAGAGAATTGACTAGCTAATTGTTAGTTGGACCTTTAGATAATAACTATCCCACTATCTAGACCAAATCAGATAATGAGTTATTAGCTAGCTAACTATTATCAGATAATGAATCCAAACAGGGCCTAAATTGTTTAGTTGAGCTATATTCTTTATTGTAGAAAAAAAAATCATAGTTTCCAGGTTCTCAATTTGGAGCTCAGAGTCTGGAGATGTGCCAAATGGGGCTACTATAGCCATCATTATGTTATCTGTAAACTGATTTGTTCCTTTGAAATATGTTTCAATTAATATTTAATATTAAGTATGTCATACAACTTCTTACATGTGTTTTTCCGCTATGATCCAGAGTTGATATCATCGTGCCGCCCGGGCCAAAAATGCTACCAGGACGAATGCAACAAGTTAGAAGGCCATTGATGTCATTAGCATTGATGACTAGCTTCTCTGCTTCTGCTTTTGTTTGCGCATATGCATCAGGAAACTGCAAATAAAACCTATATTAGAAAAGTGCATTAATTTGTACTGTAAATATATTTTTATAATATTAGTCAACATATTCAAAGAAAAATAGTATAGGCAAGAAGCATGCCAAAAAAATCTCTCCTTCAATGGGTTATTTCTTATCCTATCGCCAGTGGCCGATTGTCAGATGAAAAGAAATGCACTCAAGGTATAGTATATAAAGTACTGAGTAGTCAATATATAAAATTAATATATATATCTTTGTCCGTGTCTATATCTGTCTGTGTACATATTTTTTGAGCTATTAGTTTGAATTGAGATGCAACCTTGTCTGGGTATGGTAATGATTCATTTACGTTGAAAAGTCCACGAACTCCATCAAATACAACAGAGCTAGAACTCGTGTGTATAAGCCTTTTCACCTTGCAGATCTTACAAGCATCAATTACACTCTTTGTTCCTGTGTATGCAGTATACATCAAAGCTAATTAGTAAATTTAATTTAATTCCTATATGCTACTTTATAAATGTGAACAAAAATATCCTTATGGATTCAACTGATTTTATCTACTAAAAAGTTCATATATTTGTTAATGGGTAAAGTTCATGGCCGACCCTCGAAACTTGTGGGGGTGTGTCATCTCGGTCGTTGAACTTAGAAAGTATGTCATTCCGGTCCATAAACTCTGTTTGGGTCTCATATTCATCCAAATGGGTCTAGGCCCACATGTCAGCTCTATCTGCCGTTGGGATCAAGATGTCATCATCTAGATGAATATGAGACCTGAATAGGGTTTAAGGACTGGAATGACACACTTTTTGAGTTCATGGACCGGGATGACACACGCGTACAAGTTCGAGGACCGGCCATGAACTTTACTCTTTGTTAATTATATGCAACTAGCTAGTTTAGTAGCAACACAATATTTTCTTAGGCTTGAATTTAAGCTGAATACACATACAAAACGAATGCCACCAATTTATGTATTAATATAGCAGATTCCTTATTGGCTAATGTATATTAATCTTTTTAGCAACTCTCATGATAAACAACTAATATGTGACTCTCATGAAGGAATGTCAGCACAGATATTCTCAACACATTTGTATGCGAATAAAATTCAACTTTGTCGAGTACCATGTTATAGCAAAAAACAATATAGGTAGAACCAATTAGGCATGGAATATATAGCTTGTCATCTATTGTTACGATATCCTTGATAAAACAACTTGTTTTATTTACTAACCCTCCACATTGACCTTGTAGTGAAGTGGCAAGTTGTTCTTGCTAGGATCCGCGGCAGCTGTGTGGAAAACAACATCTACCCCTTCAAAAGCTGAATACAAAAGAAAAAAATATATTGAGCTTATATAACTAAGAAAACAGCAAAAAACCACCACATGTTGCATATTAAGGGAACGCATCACAACCGCAGCCTGTGGGCAGATGTGTTGTTATTATTCTGTTGAGCGGTAGTTTAGCCCCAAGAGTGCTCCAAATAATGGTTACTTATTATTGGCCAAAAGTTATCACCCTTTTTTCTATACATGGATGTTAATCACATAGATGCTAACGGTGTTTAGGTCCATATGCGTAGTGTAAAGACTTCATTTCAATCATTCATTTCTTTTTTATGGCAGGCTATAGCCAATGTGGAGTGGATTGTGTATTTGTGTGTCTAAATTGCACAATCCATCTGTATGTAAATTTATTTTAAATAAATTATAATCTCATTTTTACATATTGGTGAGTCATGCCAAGTATAGTTGTATGTGCAAAAAATTGGGTTGTCAATGATGATGATATGTTCATGTGTAATTTTGGCCACACATCTATATGGTTGCAGTATAAATAGATGCTTATAATTGTGGATAGTAATGTTTATGAATAGGACTTTCAAACTCCATTATAAAATGTTACTTAGGCATATATATTGCAAATAAAACTAGAAATTAACTAATAGTTACCTTTTGATTATTATATGCCATGCTCGTTTATTGAGACACTATGAAACATAGACATAATCACATAAACCATTATTCAAGTTTATTTTTCTTAGAGAACCAAACAAAAAAGCATGTACAGAGGTTGAACAGAACAATAAGCAAATGCTAGCTAGTCTTTTTCATGTGGGTTTTGGTTTGTCCTCCTTTATTTGGACAAGCCTCCTAAACTCCAAGCAACTAAAAATGCTACAATTTTCAGTCCATCGGTGTGAACACACACCTGTGTATCATATTGAGAAGAGCGGAGCTGACCACAAGCTTAGTGGGGGTGGGTTAGGGATTTAATGATTTCATGGTCACTGAGTTTAGAGGGATGTTTGTGTGAGGCAGCCAGCTTGGAGGCAATGGGCAGTGGATGAAGATGGAGCAGGAAGGTGTGGCTATGCCGGTTTAGGCGGGGAACAAAGGAAGTGTAAGCATCTAGGCCCCTATGGTAAGTGATAAGTTTCGACGTTAATGACAAATGTGGTTATTGTAACTAATGTTTGTTTTGAAGGAACAAATTTGAAGTTAGATAATAAAGCACATGATGATTGTGATCCTCAATTTTGGTTGCAAGGCTATGAACGACTCAATTCAAAGGCTAAGGACTTTTCTTGAGTTAAGTTTCTCACAAAGGAGATGAAAGATAATTAGGTAGATATGTTTTTGTAGTTTTTAGTATTTGAGTGGTTATAAAGGAGGAATAGGAGATAGTAGTTTGACTAAGTAAATCATGATAAAAAAAATATGCACAATTGACAGTGGCATAGATGGATACTAGAAGTCAAAACTATCCCAAGGAAATAGGTTGGAATCAATTCCAATCAATATTGAAGAAACTAGAGCAAAAAAGTATGTGAACATTGGACGATTCATAAGTTTGAGAGAAGAACTCGGCAGACAATTTAACTGAAGTTCGGTGCTGACTAATTTCAAAGACTGAACAGTTTGGTGGTCAATAAAGGAGGCATCGTTCAAATCAATTAATGGTCATCGGGTGGTGAAGTCAGTTGGGCACTTCTCTAATCCACAGACTAGATGGTTTGACAGGCAAAGTGCCTGGTGCGCCAAACAATCACAAGATAGTCCATAGAAGATGGTGTTTCTAGGACAGTGTCAGGCTTCAACTTATGGACCGGATGGTCTAGTGCCATATGTAGTGAGCACCAGACAAGTGATGATGATGTGACCATTGAAAAGTGGTGGTAGATACAACATATCAGACAGTCCAGCGATGTGTTGCCCTGATGCTCCAGCGAAGTCACTTTTTCTCTATAGGGTTTTTAGATATATAAAGTTATAAACTCCTCAAGAGCATTTATTTGTGGTCTCTTGGAATATGAGAAGGCTAGCCACACATTTGGAAGATCAAGAGGAGATTTTAGAGTTACAAGTACCCATCAATTATCTCCTAGACTTGCTTGGTTAAGTGAGCGCTTTTGTTCTTGTTACTCCTGGTGGTTGGGAGCACCTAGACTATTTTAGTGATCTGTGTTCTTGCTTGATCAGCTGCTGGAGATCTTGTGGGAGCCTTGCAAATCTTGGTGACACGGTTTGAGATCTACCACTTAAGTGAGGGAAGATGGATACTATTATTGGATCTAGAGTCTTGGTGTCTCAAGACTGCTTAACCCTTAGTGGGCGCAATAACATGGATTAAAGGGTGTCCCAACACCTCGAAACCACCAGGAAAGAATCTGATTGTCTTGTGCTCGTTTAGTTCTTGCATTTCTTTCTTACACCTGTTGTTTTATGCTCTTGGATGTTTGAAGTAGTTGAGTGAGAACATAGGATTGTCCTTGTGATAGTGTGCTTAGTAATTGATATGCTTTATATTTTTGCAACTAAGGACTTTTTTGTTAGTGTGTTTTGTGAGCACATTGCTTAGTGTGAAAGCTTTAATATACAACTCATCTTCGTGTGTCCTCTAGTTTGTAGGGTCAGTCATGCTAGTCGGTTAAAGTAGTATATTAGGTCAAAATTTATATTGTTAATTCTTTTTAGCCCAATTCACTCGGTGTCTTAAGTCATTCTGTCCTTACAAGACGGTTGGTGGGTAGCATCAAGAGATCTAGCAATGAGAGAGCTTCTAAAGATGTTGGTCAGTGTTATACTAAATGCTAAATGGTAAATAGTCGGTCACTTATTGTTTAGTTATTATTCAGCCTAAACAACTACTTAAACAGGCGAAACGACTGATGAAATGCAAACGACATCCCACTATGCAACATTCAAACACTGTGTAAACAAGCTAAACAAAACAGTTTAGGTGAACATTGGTGTTGGTGTGTTTGGGTGGGCGGGTAGGAGGGGCAGGAGTGGGGACAAGCAAGATAAAAAAAGGCGACCCATGAAGAGAATATGAGAGAAGAGCTATTGTTGTAACCATAATGACATATATAGTGATAGGCTCGCGAGAGAGAGGTGACGCCTTGCCGGGACGGCAGGACTTGAAGCGGCTGCCATGAGTAGGTAAGTTTCCACTAAATCTCGTCAACGATGATATCGTCTGTGATCTTGAATGTTTGTCTCAATAGATCAAATCGATGCTTTTGCACATTAAGGTTAGCAGACAACTTAATTATCATTGTGAGGGCTTATTTGTAATGGCTGCACATGAAAACATCACAGTTTTAACGTAGCTGGTGTACCTATAGCATTGCCCTTACGTCGTTCCGCTGACCACAAGATAGAAGATACGGCGAGAGAAGGTAATAGGGTGGCATACTATACTAGAATGCAGCTAGGATACTGGATAGGGTCGAAAATGGACAGGTAATATCTCGTCCCCACCTGTCCCGTTTTTATATTTTTATATTTTACTAGATATATGCCCGCGGGGTGCACCGAGTCACAATGTTTTGAATTGAAACTCAGTAATCGGACGTGGTTGTGTGAGCTTCGAGGACTTCGTTGTATCGGACGAGGACACGTAGATCTGGTCTTGGTATCATAACCGGGTAGGACGCGGACGTGTGAAATTCGAGTGGAGTATGATTCGTATCAGACGCGGACATGTGAGTAGGGATCAGAATTTGGTATCACCGGATAGATGATGACTTTAGAGTCTTTTTAGGTGTAGAGAAGAAATCCGCCTATTTTTGTATTTAAAAAAAAATCCAGAAACAGGAGGGAACAAGAGTCGGGAGATGGCGGCTGTAGGTCGGAAACGGAAATGGGCCCACCCAGGTTATGGGATTCCATATTTGGGAGGGATGAGCCCGTATCATACCCGGATTTGGAAAATACGGGATAAGCCCAATATTGAATATATATGTGAGGCCCAGGAGCTAAAAGGCCCATCATATCCCTTCCTGCGGCTGGTTGTCTGCTAGCTTGCTGCTTGCCCTCTATCCTAAAATAGAAATTCTCGTTTATCGAAAAGTTAATTTTATTAACTTTAACTAATTATATATAAAATAATATTAATATTTATAATACATAATTAGTATCATTAGATAGATCATTGTATATACTATTATAATAAAATTATTTGGAGATATAAATGTTGCACATATTTTCTATAAATTTGATCAAAGTTAAAAAAATGTAAGCTGCACATATTTCATAATGACCTGATGGAGGGAGTAATACAGTACCTTCTGTCTGGGACGGATGGAGTAATACACTACGTGGCATGTTAATTTGTGACATGTTAACTTGATTGATGAATAATACGTGCACTTGCTTGAAGAATAATACGTGGCCAAATTAAATACGTGCAATTGCGTACGCGCACTGCACGTTTGCACCAAGCCAAGCAACTCATTCACTTGTGACATGTCGTTAACTTGATTGATGAATAGTAATGTACTCCCTATGTCCCTAAAAAATTAATTCCTAGAGTCGTCTGAAGTCAAAAATTTTAAACTTTTACTAAATTTCTACAAAAAAAGCTAAGATTTATTGTATCAAACTAATATAATTAGATTTATTATAAAAATATATTTTCATAAAATGCTCATTTTATGTCATAAAAGTTGTTACTCTTTTTTATAAAGTTAGTAAAATCTAAAAAATTTGTCTATCACGAATTCTAGGAATTGATTTATTTAGGGATGGAGTGAGTATATTTGTGTGGTGTGCCTAGGAGCTACTTTCAGATAATAGATTCAACATGTAATCTGATCCTGACTAAATAAGCTTCCAGCTCCCAACCATTTTCGTTTAATTTCCGACTGTGTTTGTTGGTTTCCGTAAGTCCGTATATTTTGGTCCCGGTTCTTGCCAACGGCTCTACGGACCAGATAGTCAGGAGGTCCGGTCTGTACCCTCGCGTGCAGGGTTTGAGCCCCGCGGGTGCGCGTTCGCCTGATAGAGGTAAAAAAAAATCCCCTCGTTTGACCTCCTGTTTCTCAAAACACAGGTAAATGGACCGGTCCATTCACAGTATAACGGGCCCCTGTATGAGGACGGAGCATGGAATTCGAGGGATTTTTTCAGTCCGCGTGGGAGGTCTTCTGCCTTAAGCACAATGTTGCGGGGGCTATCTGTTCACCGTAGGCTGAGTTTTTTTCGATCCCGTTTCTTGATCCGGTCCTTTCGGATCTGACTCTAATGCTGGACTTAAGGAGAGGACCGCAGGTTGGGAGCATTGGGCCGAAATGTTGAAGAATTGATTTCCGGATCGGTGAAACAAGAAAGTGGAGGGGCGACCGCGGCGGAAGATGAACACTAGTACTCCGTACTTTTAAGTTGAGACGGACGAACGAATAGTCTATGTGTAACACACTTTTTAAAAAAAAAGATAGTGTCTCCTCTTTTAAATTAGTTTTTGCTGGTAAGGTCACGTCGCTGAAAATTTTAATTAGTGCCATTTAAATTCGGTGTCACGAGCAGAATATATATCTTTCGTTCGTTCAAACAAACACAAGAGAGAGATGGATTTTTGTTTAGAATGAATCCAAGAGTATATCACCTGTAGTAAGCTGCTCTAGGTTGCAGACATCCACGGAGGCGTAAACGGCTCGGCCGTCGCCGAGGGCATCACGGAGGAGGTCCTCCGTCTCGCCGGGGCCGAGCACCAAGGAGGGGGCGAGGTCGGTAACCCGAACGTGCCACTCGCCGGAACGGAGCAACGCGGCCACCAGGTGCCTGGCCATGTACCCTCGGCCGCCAGTCACCGCGCACCACTTGGTCGCCTTCGCCTCTTGTCGGCCATCGTCAGCACGCGGCGACCCCATTTTTGCTAGAGTACAGTGCAGTCGCAGGATAGAGCTGTGTGTATGTGTCCATCCACAACATATAAATAGCTCTCTTGCAGGTGTTAGGTGTATCATATATATAGCCTGGACGAGGACGACGACCAAGAGTTAAAATCAATTGCTTGAATGGTGCTATCAAGAAAAACTTGGTAGCACCAGCCAAGAATCCCGGACGGCCTATAAATTAAAGGTGCCGCCGCTCAACCAAGAAGTAATATTTACACATACATGTTGCACATTTGGCATCACCGCGTGCATTATATTGAAGGGGCAATCATTGTGATGCTTCTAGATCATCCAAGCGCCCGAAAAAAAAACCCTGCGAAGCTAAAGCCTCAATCCCTCTGTGATGAGTAGCTGGGTCACCAATGAGTCGACCTTAATCCGGCCTCCAGCTATCGCTGCACCGGTGCTGCCCTATTGGCTTGTCTTATCAGTCATATTTTTTCAATGAAAAAATAGTATTTTTCTTTCACGACGAATTAGCGAACATCGGCTAACGTCACCGGACGGCGGACATGAGACAACCCCTCGCTTCCCCACCTGGCACAGCGGCAAAGCAAGGTGCCAGCGACCCCCTACCTCTCCCCGATCCGGCGTCGCGCAGCGCTGAGCAAATCACTGCTACCGCATGAGGGTTCGCAGCATGGACCACCAGCAAGAGGACAAGCAACCTTGCGAGGACCAATGCCAGGTGGAGCACAGCCAGACTCCCTTCCCTGCCACCATGCCACGGGTCTCTAAAGGCGAGAAGCGGAAGGCTTGTCTGGATCAAGTTCGTTCTCCGTGCAGTCCCAATCTATGCAATGATGGCAGGAACCTATCATCGTGGGCAAGGAAACAAATCGACGCTATATTCGTTCAGTTGGATTGATTATAAGTTATATTTTTTCAGTTAACGAATAATATTTTTTTCTTATAACAAATTAGCCTAATAATACTTTTAGTCATAACTTATTAGCCATATGAAGAGGTCAATTAATGAATTTTTCTGGGTAACACCAGACGCGTTTGTTTAGGGGAAATGCAAGTACAATCACACTCAGTGGAATTGTCGGCCAATAATACACGACAGCAACTTTTTAAAAGAGTGCAAGGGCCCCTTGTCACCCTGTGCAAGAATGGATAATATAAGCTTTGCGAAACTTACTTTGGGTACTTTCCGATGTACATGTACCTAACCTAGGCGCGCGCCCGCGAGCTGAACCCCTGCACCGAGCCACCGACGCTGAGCCGGCAGTTGGGGCTCCTTGCTTGACGTGCATGCACGTGTGCTCGGAGCCGAAGGGCACCGCTAACTTATTGCTTGAGCGCAACCTGCCGCCATGGACCGACGAGACGACGAGCGTAGCTCCATAGATGGCCAAATGGGCCAGGCAGGATGGGCCGGCACGGGCTCAGCCTGAAAAAGCACGACACTAGCACGGCACGGCACGATGTTCATAGTGCCAGTGCCGGCACGTGCACGGTTTAGGGCCGTGTCTGGGCCGAAGGTTCGTCCCGTAGTGTCGGCACGGGCACGGCATGGTTAATGGGCCAGCACGATGGTGGCCCGATTATTCTTGATCCTTGGATTGATTTGGAGTATTATTGTCCGTTGGATTGATTTACCTAGCTATAAAAGCAACTCCCTCCTCTCTCTCTCATTCTTTCCCTTCCAGCCATCATTTCTTTCTCTCGGTACTCCTCCCGTCTTCGCTTCCTGAGTCCTAACCGCAGAAGCCTCTCATGCCTCTCCGCCTCACGCTCCCTAGGGCGGCGGCCGGCAGTCCCACTCCACTCCTCCCCCACTCGTTTTCTCCTCGAGGTGCGGCTATGACGGCGGCGGCACGACGGCGTTCGTGCGAGGCACCGCTGCGACGGCGTGGCGGCCGCGGTGACGATGCGAGGGCGCAGCGGGGCCGAGGAGTGGCTCAACGACGGCATGTTCGTCACGCCGGTGACACGGCTTGGCTCGGCGAGCTCCTCGGCTCCTCCCATGCAGCCACGGGCCGGCACGGCCATGGTGGGCTGCCGTGCCTGTGAGCACGGCACGACACGGTTGAAGAGACATAGGGCCGTGCCTAGGCTAAGAGTTGGGCACGGCGGCCCGAAACGGCACGGCACGGTAGGATGTCGTGCCGCATAGTGCCGTGTGCCCCCCATAGTGCCGTGCCGCATCGTGCCCGTGCTCATGTCATGCCGTGCGGCCCGGTTGGCCATGTACACGTAGCTCCGGCAGCCCCCCCTTGGCCCTTACCCAAGAAGTCCAAAGGAAACCGCGTGCCATGACGCCCGTCCGGCCGTCTCCATGCTTGCATCTCGGGAAAAAAAGGATTATGCATGCGTGTTGTGGATGAGTTCCGTGCAACCTGATGGACGATCGGCTGGTCCTTCGCAGAACCGCAGCGCAGAAATCCGTGGTCCCACCCAGCGTTTTCGCCCATCACGACTTCCTCACGCATGCAAAGCTGATCTGTATCTGTTTTAGACGGTAGTGATGAGGTGCTGTACGTACGGAGACAGCCGAGTTCGTTTTGATGATGTAATGTAATCATGGTTGGATCTTTCTTTTTATCCTTTTGTCATGCGGATTTTGGTTATTATCTAAAATTTTGTTTATCTTTTTCTTATCAGTAAAGTCTCTCTCTTTTCATAGTATAATCTATATGATCGGCGATGCTTCCATGCTCTCTGATGTTATGTCTTGTTGAGGTGTTGTGGTAATAATCCAGAAGGTGTTTGTCATTGTTTTTATTCTCGGGTGTTACAACATATTACATATAAATATGTTATATATAGGCGGCACTACATTAAAGACGTAATCATTCTTATGCTTTCAGATCATCTAATCGCCATGAACAATCTGCGATTTCATTCCCTTCTTGAGTAGCTGTGGGTCACCAATGAGTCGTCAATCGACCTTAAACCTCGATCTATTGCTATGCCAAACCCTAGAGATTGTTTAGGAAAAAACACATGAGATTAACATGTGTTGTTCCTCTTCTCCTGGTCACATAAAGGGCATTTTTCAAGGTGCCGTGGCCCTCTTGCTCCGAGCTAGATGTTCAGGTAGCAGTCAACAACAATTGTAGACAGCTAACCACAAAAAGAATAATTAGCACGTTTAGGCTGTTTGATTTGAGAAACTTGAAGAATGCCCCGAGCGCTGCTACGGGAATCGCCGGTGAAATTATACTTCTTATATTTACTAATATGATTGAATAATTATCATAATACATGTTTGTGGATGATTTTTAGCATTCCGTTGTGAACAACTTAATATATCACTACTACAGATTTGGACATCACTACCGGATTTGTGAGAACCGACAGTAATGTACCTTCACTGTCGGTTCTGAGCTTGAAAATGAGAAAATGATTAGGGCTGGGCTAAAACCGGTAGTGAAGGACCACATCACTGTTGGTTTGTGGCATGCACCGGCAGTGAGCTGGCGGCCACTTATCACTGCTGGCTCTAACCAAGAGCCGACAGTGATTTGATGCTATCACTGTCGGTTCGAGCCAAGAATCGACGGTGATAAAATAGCAGTACAAAAAGCTGGCGCCATCCTCTCCTTCCTCCTCTCTTCCATCCCGAGCACAGAGGTGTACGTTTGAGCCACTCCCTCCATTGTTGCGGCTACTCTTCACCGTGAAGCTAGCTCTTGGATTTGGAAAAATGGCTTGATCTTTTTACTTTAAGGTTAGTAACAAGCATCCACTCCTTTAATTTTGTTGCTTAATTAACGTTATTTTGATGGCCAGATTGCTTGATTCTCATTCTAGTTCTTTCTCTATTCTAAAGAGCACTTTTCCAATTAGACTTTGTGCAAGGCTTCCAAGCAAATTATGGTGAATCCATCATCCAAAAGGTTGGTATCTTTGAATACATTGAAAATCCTAGCTAATTACATGGTGGTCTAGATTATTGTTAGTATGTGATGCTATAATTAGTTCTTAAAAAGAGTAGAGTAGATTCTTTTATAATTTTGGTGACCAAATTAATCCATGTGTCACCTACCAACACATTGTTTGGAGCTATATTGTTGTTCATAGCCATGTCTCCAATTTTAATCTTTTAAAAAAAAATTAGTGTCTCCATCTTTATGTGGCATCGAGTAGAATAATTGATCTTCATTATTATGCAATAATTATTTTTAATGGGGCTACGATTTTCAATTTATATGGCCGGGGCTATCAATTTCAATTTTCCAATAATTAGTGTAGAATAATGTTTTTCACAAATGGGGTGACTAAATTAAATAAGTGTAGAATAAATGGTACTTTCGAGCTACAATTGTTGTTCATGAAGCTGGACTTTTTATTAATCTCTGTAATTACTGTCTTAATATTTTTTGTGTGTAAAGATGGATCAAGAGTGGATGCATTTGTTCTGAACGGACAAGCGGTACATGCATGACGTCAGCCAGTTTATCACCAATGCCAAAGCCCATGCTAGAAATGGGAACCCTATCTTCTGCCCATGCAAAGATTGCATGAATCAAAAGAAATAGGCTCAAATTGAGTCTGTACGAATACACTTGATTACCAGGGGGTTCATGCCAAACTATACGATATGGACTATGCATAGCGAGGTCGGTGTGAATGTTCCACGAGAAAATAATGATGATGTGGCCATGCCTGACGTAGCCATCCATGATGCTGACGAGGAACTCAGTGTCAACACGGAACCTATGGCCACAGTTAATGATGTGTTTAGGAACACGCTAGCTGACAACACCGAGGATAACGATGGCATTTCTCAGCTACTATGTAATGTAGAGACCGAATGTCTTAGTGAAAGACAGCTGAGAAAGCTAGAGAAAATGAGACAAGATGGCAAAACACCATTGTATAAGAATCGTCCAATGAGCAAATTGGAAGCCGACATCGTGTTGTTAAAGTTTAAATCAACAAACGGATTGAGCGATAAAGGGGTCAATCAGTTGTTAGGTATAATAAGGAAAATACTCCCAGAAAAAAATAAGTTGCCAGAA